CTATTTCAGAAATTTTATGTAAACATTGTTTTCATTATTACTCACATCGTTAAGTTTGTAAAAACTTAGAATCCTTTTTTATTTTTTAAACTACACAAAAGCAATAACTTACATTCATAACAATTGATCAGGTTTTGATATGAGGTGGAATGTGTTTCATTCCTATTTCAGAAATTTCATGTAAACTTTGTTTTCATTATTACTCACATCGTTAAGTTTCTGTAAAAGATTACATTCCGTTTTTATTTTTTAAACTACACAAAAGCAATAACTTACATTCATAACAATTGATCAGGTTTTGATATAAGGTGAAATGTATTTCATTCCTATTTCAGAAATTTTATGAAAACTTTGTTTTCATTATTACTCACATCGTTAAGTTTCTGTAAAAGCTTACATTCCTTTTGTATTTCTAAAATTACAAAAAACCAATATCTTACATTCATAACAATCGATGAGGTTTTGATATGAGGTGGAATGTGTTTCATTCCTATTTCAGAAATTTCATGTAAACTTTGTTTTTTTTATTACTCACATCGTTAAGTTTCTGTAAAAGCTTACATCCCTATCTTATTTCTAAAACTACACAAAAGCAATATCTTACATTCATAACAATCGATCAGGTTTTGATATGAGGTGAAATGTGTTTCGTTCCTATTTCAGAAATTTCATGTAAACTTTTTCTTCGTTATTACTCACATCGTTAAGTTTCTGTAAAAGCTTACATTCCTTTTGTATTTCTAATACTACACCGAAGCAGTATTTTATATTTATGATAATTAATCAGTTTTTAATATGACAGCATATGTATTCCATTCTTGTTTCAGAAATTTCATCTAAACTTTATTTTTATTATTACTCACATCGCTAAGTTTCTGTAAGAACTACAATTCTTTTTTAGTTTTTAAACTACACAAAAGCAATATCTTACATTCATAACAGTCGATCAGGTTTTGATATGAGGTGAAATATGTTTCATTCCTATTTAAGAAATGTCATGTAAACTTTGTTTTTATTATTACTCACATCGTTAAGTTTCTGTAAAAGCTTACATTCCTTTTTTATTTCTAAAACTATTTAAAAGCAGTATTCCTATTCCGTTCCATTCCTAACAATTAATATATAGTTGAGAAAATAGTTTTCAACTACACTAAAGCAAAATCTAACTTTTATTCCGTTCCATTCCTAACAATTAATATATAGTTGAAAAAATAGTTTTCAACTACATAAAAGCAATATCTAACTTTCATAACAATCGATCATTTTTTGATATAAAGTAAAATGTAATTCATTCCTATTTCAGAAATTTCATGTGAAGTTTATTTTTATTATCACTCACATCGTTAAGTTTCTGTAAAAGCTTACATTTCTTTTTTATTTTTTAAACTACACAAAAACAATATCTTACATTCATAACTGTTTGAGATTTGGCACAGCAACCAGGCGATATGGCATCACCCATTTAGTAGTTTTTGACAGTGGCATTTTAACATTTGGCAGCAATAATTTTGGCTTCGTTTTTTTGCTTTTTCTTTCTCCTTCTTCTTTACTTGACTGGCATAGAGTGTGCACGTTTTTTTGGCTTGGCGAGATATAAATTATTCTAGTCTAATTTTTTCCTAAATTGAATGAATAAATAAACTTTTGCGTGTGTGTAAATAAATCGTGTTTGTTTTTCATACATTTGTTGGTGCCGAAACCCGGGAATTTCGGTTTTTATTTAAAAATTAAATTGCGTTTTTGGCTTTTTTGGCGTTTTTATACGAAGAAAATATGGCTGCCTTAAATAGGCGTACGGCTGCGTGGTTATCATTAAAGCGGGTAGCTGCAAAAATACTGGCGGATGACTACGTTGAGGATGGCTTTGGCATGCAGCAAGATCGTGCAACATTGCAGGCACACTTCGAAAAACTACAAACTGCACATGGTGAGTTGGTGGCTTTGGCAAGAGATGATACTGAATTATGGTCTCACATCAAGTTGTGGGACGAGGTGGAAGACTTATATAACGAGGCGTGCGTTGTATTGCGGCGTGAGTTGGCCCATTGTGATGTACAAAATACGGATGCACCTTCCAATATGGCAGGCGGTGCTGCATCTTCCCAAGGCTTGGCAATTAAATTGGAACGATTGGCGGTACCCAAGTTTGATGGCACGATGCGCAATTGGCTGGCATTTAAGGACACATTCGAGACATTGGTACATTCGCAAGAGTTTCCAGAGGCATACAAGCTTGGCAAACTGCGAGAGGCAGTCCATGGTGATGCAGTGGCACTTGTCGTAGGCATGTACAGTGGCGGGTACGATGAGGTATGGGCTGCACTGAAGGCTCGGTACGACAATCCGAAACAGTTGACTGAAATACACGTGGCTAGGCTAATTGGCTTCAACCCACCACAGGCTGAGTCAACATCTGCGTTGCTCTCGGTGGTTGGTACAGTGCGAGAGTCCTTGCGAGCGCTTGCGGTAATGAACCTACCTGTGGATCAATGGGATGCATTGGCGGTACCCATCATAGTGTCCAAGTTACCAACAATTACGCAACAGGCATGGGGCATGAGCCGCACAACTAATCAAATTCCTCCTTTGGCAGATTTGCTTGCATTTTTGGAGACACGAGCTCACAGTCTAGTTGGCACTGTTTGGCGAGCAATGGAGAGCAAACCAAAATCTGATGGCAAGACTGCTACATTACAATATCGTGGCACATCTCAGGCTGATCATAAAAGGCCAGGTTCACGTCTAATGAGGACAAACCTAATAGCAACTACTCCAGGCCACTGCCAGTTTTGCAATGACGCATCTCACCAAATAGGAAACTGCACCAGGCTATTGGCTTGCTCACCAGCGGAGCGCTTCACATTGCTTAAAGGCTCGAATCTTTGCTTCAATTGCTTGAAACCTGGACATTCTACTAAGGCATGTGGCTTAACTAATTGTCGCATATGCAATGGCAGGCATCACACTCTACTATGCCGAAGTTCACCAGCGCAAACTCCTCCTTTGAAAGAGTCCAAACAGCAGGCACAAACCGCACCTCAGGCACCAGCGAAACCGAATCAGACTGGCATCCCACCACGTGTGCATCAGTGACTACACCATCCAATGCAGACATTCGCTACTATAGGCAATCGGGTTATACTCTTGGCAACAGCACAAATACGCATCTTAATGGCTTTGGCGATATCGACTCGTGTCGAGCTCTATGCGATCCAGGCTCTCAGGTAAGTCTAATGAGTACGCGATATTTTAATCAACTGGCTCTGCGGAAGCAGAAAAGTGCATTGCAATTACAAGGCGTTGGCAGTGGCAATCGCTCATATACTAATGGCCGGGCAGTCTTGCGCATATTTTCGACTGTCAATGCTTTATTTGGCTTGGATGTTGAATTCTACATCATCAACAAAATTACCTCAGCAATCCCTGTGGCTCCAATCATGGAAAACTGTTGGCAGCATTTACGCAATTTGCCTTTGGCAGACCCGAAATTTGGCGAAACTGGTGTTATAGATGCATTGCTTGGCTATAACCCCCAGACGTATGGGGCCAATTGTTGGCAGATGGCATAGTTCGTGGCGAACTTGATGATCCTGTGGCACAAAATACGCAATTAGGCTGGGTTGTATTCGGACCAGCTGAAGAAACCGTGCATAACTACAAGGCGGAACAATCTATGGCATTGCGTGTGGAGGCGCCTGATGAGCGAGTTGATGACCTTCTACACAGGCTATTTGAATCCAAAGAAATTGAGATGGCTAAAGGCGATACACTAGCAGCAGTTGATCTTTGCGAGTGCATTTTCATGAGCACCCATAAGCGTTTTGATGATGGCAGTTATTGTGTACAAATACCATTTACATCAGATGCTCCACCACTTGGCAATTCACATCAGATGGCACTCAGGCAATTTCACCAGTTGGAACGAAAATTGGCATCCAGCTCAGAGCTGAGGCAAAGATATGTGGCTTTTATGCGCGAATACGAACAACTTGGTCACATGCACCCTATTCAGCATCATTCAGGCGACCCATCTCAGGCATACTACATTCCACATCATGCAGTCATGGCAAAATTCCGAGTCGTATTCAATGCTTCCGCAAAAACATCGAATGGCATATCATTAAATGATACACAACTCGTTGGCCCCCCAATACAGGATTTTTTACTTAACCTTTTGCTTCGCTTCAGGCAGCATCGAATAGCATTCACAGCTGATGTGGAGAAAATGTTCAGGCAAGTCAAGGTTGACGAGAGGCACAGGCAGTGGCAACAGATCCTCTGGCGGGAATCATCCGATCAGCCCATTCGCACATATCAATTGGCTACCGTTACATATGGCACAACCAGTGGCACATATTTGGCTGTTCGCACTATGCAGCAATGTGGCAGAGACAATTCTTATAAACTCTCAGATGAATTACGAGCTAAAACTGCTTTGCACAGCATCCTGAATGTTTTCTACGTAGATGACTACCGTAAGAGTACACCTTCTGTTGGCATGGCGATTCAACTGGCGGCCGATGTCTCATCCGTTTTGGCAGACGGTCAGTTCCATCTCAGGAAATGGAAATCGAATAGCGCTGAAGTCTTGGCGCATCTTCTTGGCGATGCTGATCCATGTCAGCTTAATCCGCACTTGGCAGAAACTACTGTTCTTGGCTTACACTGGGATCCACTCACTGATGAACTCTTCTATCAGGTCAGCTCTTATGATGCACAACATCTTACGAAAAGGCAAGTGCTTAGCGATGCAGCAAAATTATATGATCCAATTGGCATGTTGGCACCAGTCATCATTACGGCTAAACTTTTCATACAGAAACTCTGGCAGGCAAAATTGGCACGGGACGACCCATTACCACTTGAACTGTTGCAAGAATGGCTCATATACCGAAGGCAGCTGTCCCAACTGGAGGCAGTGCGAATACCGCGTTGGATAGGCATGCAACCCGGATATCAAATACAACTTCACGGCTTCTGCGATGATAGTGTCAAGGCAATGGCTGCAGCACTCTATTTGGCAACAAACCACAATGGCAGTATCACTAGTCACATTATCGCATCAAAAACTAAAGTGGCACCATTACATTCGGTAACAGTACCCCGATTGGAACTTTGTGCTGCGCAATTGTTGGCTACTCTTTTACACGAAACAAGGCAGGCTTTGCATTTGGAGCACGTACCATACACTCTATACTCCGACTCAAATATTGCTCTATGTTGGCTACGCAAAAACACATCACAATTAAAGCAGTACGTTGCTAATCGCGTTGGCTGCATTCAATCGATGACAGATATCAAGCATTGGCATCACATTCCTACCAAACTCAACCCAGCTGATTGCGTCAGTCGTGGCATATTCCCTTTGGCGTTGCAAAACCACGCATTATGGTGGCACGGTCCTAATTCAACTGATTATTCAATCAATGAGCTGCACCACTGTGCACCAGCAGAGCTGGCAATAATGGAAGGCGAGTTAAAACCAGTTAAGGTAAAGGCATTGCAGGTAATAGGTCAACCCGCATTACAGACACACTACACTGCTGGCGACGAATTGGTCGTCATAGATCTGTTGCACCGGTTCAGCCATCTTGGCAAGCTATTGCACACTACTGCATACATATTGCGTTGCAAAAAGGCACATCATCGTTTTCGTTCGCATACACACATCTGTACAGGCGAAATGGACATTGCTTTAAATCACCACATCAAGGCAGAACAAGCGAAATATTTCGCAGTTGAAATCAAGCAGCTAAAAAAGGCACAGCCCATATCCACATCCAGCAAGCTCATTGCACTGAGTCCATTCATCAACTACACAGCGGACAATATATTGCGAGTAGGCGGACGCCTACACAATGCGAGGGTGGCAGAGCCACAGCGTCATCCAATCATTCTTCCGAAGGATAGCACATTGGCCAGGCTTTTAATATGGCAGGTGCATCAGGACACACTTCATGGCGGTATACAAATTATGCTTCATACGATTCGACACAAATATTGGATTCTACAGGCACGCATTTTGGTTAAGCAATGCATACACTCATGCGCGATTTGCAGGCGGCATAAACACATAATGCTACAACAACGTATGGCGACATTACCAAAGGCTCGGGTCACCCCATCTCCACCATTTGCAAGATCTGGCTTAGACTATTGCGGTCCATTCAACATACGCATTGGCTCCAAGGCTGTTCGAACAGTGCGGAAGGCTTACGTGGCAATCTTTGTGTGCATGGTAACCAAGGCAGTGCACATCGAACTGGCTGAAGATCTCACTTCTGAGGCTTTCATAAATGCATACACCCGTTTCGTAAACCGGCGTGGTCCATGTAATCATTTATACAGTGACAATGGCACTACATTCATTGGCGCAGATCGCTTAATGGCCGCTGACTTACAGGCTTGGCATAATGAATATTCTCAACAGCAATTGGCAAATCGAGGCACAAAATGGCATTTTCTACCACCTGGCGCACCTCATCAAGGCGGTCTATGGGAATCTGCCGTTAAGTCAGCAAAGAAGCACTTACTACGCATTGTTGGCACCCATTCCATTTACTATGATCAGCTACATACTCTACTTGTACATATCGAGGCTTGCTTGAATTCACGTCCACTTATACCATTGCATGACACTTGTGACGACAAGATGACTCTATCACCTGCAGATTTCCTAATTGGCAAGGTACCTAGCAACAAATTATCATACTGCGAAAGATATGCAGGCTTGTGGAGCATCCTGAACGTACCCGTCCAGCCGGGGAGGATGTTTATATTTGGCACAGCAATCAGGCGATATGGCATCACCCATTTAGTAGTTTTTTGACAGTGGCATTTTAACATTTGGCAATATATTTTGGCTTCGTTTTTGCTTTTTTTTTTTTTTTTTCTTACTTGGGATACTGACAGAGTGTGCACGCTTTTTTTGGCTTCGCGAATTAAAGTAATTTATAAATTTTCTAGTCTATTTTCGTAAATTAAATAAATACATAAACTTTTGTGTGTGTGGAAATAATTGTGTTTGTTTTTTCATACAATAACAATCGATCAGGTTTTGATATAAGAGTAAAAAAGTATTTCATTAATATTTCAGAAATTTCACGTAACTTTGTTTTTATTATTACTCACATCGTTAAGTTTCTGTAAGAATTTACAATCCTTTTTAAGTTTCTAAACTACACAAAAGCAATATCTTATATTTATGATAATCGATCAGGTTCTGATATAACGTAAAATGTAATTCATTCCTATTTCAGAAATTTTATGTAAACTTTATTTTTATTATTACTCACATCGTTAGGTTTCTGTAAAACCTTACATCTCTTTTTATTTCAAAAACTCCACAATAGCAATATCTTACATTCATAACAATCGATCGTGTTTTAATATAAGGTAAAATGTATTTCATTCCTACTTCAGAAATTTCATTTAAACTTTGTATGCATTATTACTCACATCGTTAAGTTTCTGTAAAAGAGTACATCCCTTTTTATTTCTAAACCTACACAATAGCAATATCTTATATTTATGATAATTGCTCAGTTTTTAATATGACATCATATGTATTTCATTCCTCTTTCAGAAATTTCATGTAAACTTTATTCTTATTATTACTTACATCCTTAAGTTTCTGTAAAAGTTCACAATCCTTTTTATTTTTAAAACTACACAAAAGCAATATTCCTATTTCATTCCATTCCTAATAAATAATATTTCATTCATTCCTATTTCAGAAATTTCATGTAAACTTTATTTTTATTATTACTCACATCGTTAGGTTTCTGTAAAACCTTACATCCCTTTTTATTTCTAAAACTCCACAATAGCAATATCTTACATTCATAACAATCGATCATGTTTTGATATATGGTAGAATGTATTTCATTCCTATTTTAGAAATTTCATTTAAACTTTGTTTGTATTATTACTCACATCGTTAAGTTTCTGTAAAAGAGTACATCCCTTTTTATTTCTAAACCTACACAATAGCAATATCTTATATTTATGATAATTGCTCAGTTTTTAATATGACATCATATGTATTTCACTCCTCTTTCAGAAATTTCATGTAAACTTTATTTTTATTATTATTTACATCCTTAAGTTTCTGTAAAAGTTCACAATCCTTTTTATTTTTAAAACTACACAAAAGCAATATTCCTATTTCATTCCATTCCTAATAAATAATATTTCATTCATTCCTATTTCAGAAATTTCATGTAAACTTTATTTTTATTATTACTCACATCGTTAAGTTTCTGTAAAACCTTACATCCCTTTTTATTTCTAAACATACACAATAGCAATATCTTACATTCATAACAATCGATCATGTTTTGATATATGGTAAAATGTATTTCATTCCTATTTTAGAAATTTCATTTAAACTTTGTTTGTATTATTACTCACATCGTTAAGTTTCTGTAAAAGAGTACATCCCTTTTTATTTCTAAACCTACACAATAGCAATATCTTATATTTATGATAATTGCTCAGTTTTTAATATGACATCATATGTTTTTCATTCCTCGACACAAATATTGGATTCTACAGGCACGCATTTTGGTCAAGCAATGCATACCCTCATGCGCGATTTACAGGCGGCAAAAACACATAATGCTAAAACAACGTATGGCGACATTACCAAAGGCTCGGGTCACCCCATCTCCACCATTTGCAAGATCTGGCTTAGACTATTGCGGTCCATTCAACATACGCATTGGCTCCAAGGCTGTACGAACCGTGCGGAAGGCTTACGTGACAATCCTTGTGTGCATGGTAACCAAGGCAGCGCACATCGAACTGGCTGAAGATCTCACTTCTGAGGCATTCATAAATGCATACACCCGTTTCGTAAACCGGCGTGGTCCATGTAATCATTTATACAGTGACAATGGCACTACATTCATTGGCTTACAGGCTTGGCATAATGAATATTCTCAACAGGAATTGGCAAATCGAGGCACAAAATGGCATTTTCTACCACCTGGCGCACCTCATCAAGGCGGTCTATGGGAAGCTGCCGTTAAGTCAGCAAAAAAGCACTTACTACGCATTGTTGGCACCCATTCCATTTACTATGATCAGCTACATACTGTACTTGTACATATCGAGGCTTGCTTGAATTCACGTCCACTTATACCATTGCATAACACTTGTGACGACAAGATGGCTCTATCACCTGCAGATTTCCTAATTGGCAAGGTACCTAGCAAGAAATTATCATACTCGCGAAAGATATGCAGGCTTGTGGAGCATCCTGAACGTACCCGTCCAGCCGGGGAGGATGTTTGATATTTGGCACAGCAATCAGGCGATATGGCATCACCCATTTAGTAGTTTTTGACAGTGGCATTTTAACATTTGGCAAGCAATAATTTTGGCTTCGTTTTTGCTTTTTCTTTCTTTTTTTCTTACTTGTATACTGACAGAGTGTGCACGCTTTTTTTGGCTTCGCAAAATATAAGTAATTTATAAATTATTCTAGTCTAA